TTCTATTCTATTCTATTCTATTCTATTCTATTCTATTCTATTCTATTCTATTCTATTCTATTCCATTCCATTCCATTCCATTCCATTCCATTCCATTCTTTAAACTGTTTCCTAGTATGATTTGATTGCTTATTGTACTCTATGACTATCATTAAGTGTTGTACCTGATGATTCTCGACTCTTGACGAATGTCTTTTATGTACACTGAGAGCATTTGCACCAAAGACAAATTCCTTGTGTGTCCAACCACACTTGGCCAATAAAGAGATTCCGTTGATACCCGAGGCCTTCGGTTGGAGTGGTTGTCCTCCAAGGTCTCCATCTTCCCACCGACTCTCCTCTTTTCCCGTACTTCAGGCAACCGCTTGGGTGAATTTCTTCTTCTGGTTCTTGATGTGCTTCCTGCTCTTCGTGGAATGCATCCGCAAAGCCCCCTACCAACCCGTTGAGGAGGAAAGCGCCCGGACTGACAAGACGGTGCCTGCCTTTGGCGACCCGTCTTCTTGAGGACGAGGGAAGGAAGCGCCACCACGGCTCCCCCAGTTCGGACGGTCGGCCATCTTCTACCCAGGTAGCAGAGGGCACCACCTAACTTGCTTCGACCAGAGAACTGGACTGTTGAAGGTGTTCCCCCCCCCCTCTCTCTCTTGGGTTACCCAGAACGGCGTCCGGAAAGGTCACAACTGGAGCACCTCTGGAATTCCCTCTCCTATAGATTCACCCCCCCCCCCAACCCAATCAAGTTCTCGTGAAGGTAACTACGGAATAGTGGGTTCCCACACCCGAGGGCCGCCTGGGAAGGACGATCTTGCCAATGAAGGTCTTTGTTATGTTGAGCGAAGTGCGATAAAGGTGCGGCGCCAACACAGCCCGCTTTTATCGGCAGCCAACGGTTGACTTTGTGTGTGTGTGTGTGTGTGTGTGTGTGTGTGTGTGTGCCTTGAAGACCGCAAACACCCTTCGGTCTGCTTCTTCTGATGTTGTCTCACTGTCTCCGCAAGGGGAGCGCCAACATGGTGACGGTGTTGAAATTAGGGCAGGGGGACTCAGCCTCTCCATTGTCTCATCATGGGATGTTCACTAGCGAAATGGAGACTCTCTCTCTCTCTTCCGGCTACCCTACTCCACCTGGTTGTTGGTGTGGATAAAAATGTCAGGAACCCCCACCCCAAGTCCTTGGCTTCTGGAGGTACCCTGGGGTCAAACCCCGAAGGACAGGTCCACCTTATCTCATTGGGGGGGGGGGGGAAGAAGGGGAGGGGAATTCAATTGGGAAAAACTCGCATCTTTCCTTCCGATTTTGTCCGGGTCTTAGGCAGCTTTTCGTGCAGACGGAACCGCCTTAAAGCAAACAAATACACTCTTTTCTTGAACTCGTTTGTCTTTATTGAGTCTGAGAACGTAAGAAGAAGCAGGACGGGCGCGGGAGGACAAGGAAGAAAAATAAGAAAAGATGGGAGAAAGAGGGGTTCGGTTCAGCATACAAAACAAGACACACCCCCCCCCCCCCCAATTTTCTGACTCTTGCTAGACCCTCCCTGGGGAGTTTCTTCCAGCTTGACGCCCGGCAGGCGTCTGAAGGGATGTTTCTCGACTTTGACAACTTGAAGATCTGTTGGACGTCGACAGACCTTCAAGTTGTCAAGACTGAGAAGATGCTATAACTGGTGGGGGGGGGAACAGACTGGATATCTTGAATCTCCCAGGACGTCCCGGGTCCCGTCTGAAATGCTACAGGAGATGATAAGGAAAAGCAAAACACTTGGAGGTGGTCACTGGACAGGGCCCAAAGTGGGCACGGGGGTGGGGCTGCAAGACCGGGGCCGCCTCAGCGGAACTGCAGAGGGCTGATCCTCAAGCCGATGACATCTTTGCCGATCTCCGTCACCTGCATCCAAAGGAAATATCATTAGTGATTCCTCCCCCACAATTAAAACAAGAAACATGGTGGCTGGGGAGTTCTAGAAATTTTATTTATTTCAGAAAATGTATATGGCTGCTGTTGTGGCCTGTCGGCCTCCGGCCCCTCAACAGCTGAATCGGAGGAGGAGGAGGAGGCGTGAGAGTCAGGGTCAACATCAAGGCAACCTGACCGCTCCAAGGGGGAAGAGGGGGTGTATCGGGCAGAGACAAGGCCTGGGCCGTCCATCAGCCCCCAGGTCTGGAGGTGGCTGATGTGGAAGAGGAGGAACAGCCGAGTCCAGTGCCTGACAGAAGGCAGAGGAGAGGAGAGGAGAGCAGTGGAAATCTATGGGCCGGTCCTTGGGACGGAAAAGCCACTGCTGCTAGTGAAGCCCCACCCTAGCCCTGGGGATGAAAGGCAGGGGCAAACAACTATTCACCTCCCTGCGGGGCGGACTTGTTAGCCTGCGGCGAGAGAGAAACTTTTGGCTGGGGCTGCCGGCGCTCTTAGTAAAGGGAGCATTTAGTTAACTACCGAGGGTCTGTCGTATTTGGGAGCCAGGTCAGAACAGCCGCCTGGCTCAGTGACTCCGGACAGCTTACAGAGATACACATAAATCGTGCTGATTGGGGAGTTCTGTGGGATTCTGGGAGTTGGAGTCACCAAGGCTGAGGAGCCCCGCCCTGAGAGAGGCGTCCAAAGAGGGGACAGGAAAAGCAAAACAACTCACAGTTGTGACTCTGCAGATCTGGCCGCGGAACTCAGGCGAATAGCAGGCCCCGCTGAGCGGGCACTTCTCCACGGGTTTGCCCCGGTAGATGGGCCGGAAGGAGGCAGCGCAGATGTCGAAGGGGTTGTGCATGTCGTAGTTGAGCTGGTGAGCGTCGCTGGGGTTCTTCTCGCAGGCAGAGAGGATCTTCCGGGTCTGGAGGAGGCGAGAGGAAGAGCCGGAGGGGGGGAGGTGAGGGGTGGGTGGGGGGCTGAAAGGGCAGCTGCTCTGTGCCCCTCCACTACCCGCCCCCCCCCTTCGGGCCCTGAGAAGGGAACCTGAAACACGGGAATTGGGCTGCTCCTCTTTGCCCGGAAGAGCCGCCTTTTTAGAGAATCTCTTTCTTTCTTTCTTTCTTTCTTTCTTTCTTTCTTTCTTTCTTTCTTTCTTTCTTTCTTT